GGCTCCTTTCTCCTCCAGGCACATTCCGCCCGGCCTCCTCCGCGTCGTGCCCCCCGCACCCTCTAAAGGAGAGACCCCCGAATGCGAAAGGGCACTGATGTGGGCTGAAGCTGGAGGGGCGCCGTCAGGGTTGGCAGACGTTCAGAGATGAGCTGCCGCCCCACCCACGGAGTCAGACCCGAGGGTGGTAACTGGGGGAGGTGTTGCCTCCCTCCTGAGATGACCGCGGGAGGAAGGGGCCATATTTTAGCACCATGTTAGTCCTTCCGTGAGTCTAGCTCAAAGGTAAGAAGTGCTTTGGGAAAGCGCCCTCCCCTGTGTGTGTGTGTGTGTGGGGGTGCTCTTGGTAACCAGGGGTGTCATGTCCCCACCCTCCACACACGTGACCTTTCAGTCCTGGCCGTGGCGTTAAGGGGGAAGATGGTCTTTACGTCCCCCCTCCCCTCCCAAACCCACTCAGAACAGGACACACCGGGGCAAAGGGCCGGGTGGGCAGAGGAGCCCCAGGCCTCATTCCACCTCCCCGGGGCCTGCTGGGTGCGGGGTGGGGTCTGGGACAGTCCCAGCGGGGTACCTGCCCACCCCAGTCCACCAGGGCAGCAGAGGAGAGTGAGGCTGGACCTAGGGTTGGGTCGGTGGGGAGGGAGGGGGAGCCCCTCCTACCAGCCCTCAGCCCTGGGAGGGTTTCCAGAAGAACTTCCGGTCCCCCACCCCCAGCACCTAGCAGGAGGGGCCAGGGCTCAGCGGGAGGTCTTGCTGCTGGTCCTGCTGAGGGGTGTCTGTTGCGGGTGGAGCAAGGGCCCTAGGCAGCCACGGGCTCCCACTGAATTCTCCTACACGTCCCCCAACCCTGGAGCTCCGCAGCCCTCAGACCTACCAGGAGCCCTGCCCAGGTGTGGGCGCTTCTTGGTGTGGCCACAGGTGGCAGGGACCCAGAGGCACTGGTGCTCTGTCCCTGGTGGCCCAGTGCATATACAATCTGCACTCTGACAGGTGGATCCCACGGGGGCCTACAGCTGCCCCCAGGGCCCTGCTGTCCGGGGAAGGCCAGGACCCCACCGGGGTCCCCTGAGGGCCCTCAGGTGATTTGGCCCTGTAGGGTCTTACCCAACAGCCGGAGGAGTGAAGGGCTGGGGGTCCCAGGCTGGCTTTCTGGTCTCCCAGACCCAGCCCTAGTTCCAGGACCCTGAGCCCAGCTGATGTTCTGGGTTCTCTGGGAGGCAGGCCAGAAGGGAGGGCCCTGGGTGGACGGGTGCTCAGACCCCTTCCAGTGGGCTGGTTCCCCTCTGACCAGTGAGGGGGTGAGCCCTGTGGGCAGGTGTGGGGGACACTCCAGGTGGAAGGGTGGGTCCGAGGGGTCAGCACCTGGCAGAAGCTCTGGGTGTGGTCTGGGTCGCCAGGGCCTGGCTCAGCCTGGCAGCAGCTGTTCTGGGACAGTGGTCACTGGGGCTCAGGAAGGAGGCCTCCGGGGCCCCCACTGCAGTGACCCCACCTCCCCCACCCCATTGTGAAAGAAGTTTAGTTCCTGAAGGGGCCCTGCCTGGCCCCTGCTGCCCTGACAGCCCGGATTGTCCAGCTGCTCTGAGGCAGCCCAGCATTGCCCCCCCTGCCCCCCGCCTGCTGCCACAGCCATGACCCTCACTCTTGGTCCAACTGTTCAACTCATGTGTCTGGCTGTGATGTCCTGTGTGTGGGACTGGGCGGGGCAAGGTGAGAGCTCCCGGGTGCCCCCTAACTCTTCAGGGGTTTGGGTACCCTCCCCTTCGAGCTACCTGGCAAGGATGTGGACAGGCGGCCCCTCAGGCCCACTGTCCAGATGGGAGAACAATGGGGGTGAGGACTCCCCAGGGCTCTGCAGGGCTGGTGTGGGTGTGGCTGGCTGTGTGTGTGGCTTGGGTGGGGGGGAGACACGACACCTCAGATGTGGGTGTCTGCATCTGTGTGTGGTCTGCCTGTGACTGTCAGCCTGGGTTTGGGGGTGAGGTAGGTTCTAGTGTTGGAGGTTGAACAGGACCTAGAATGGGGGTCCTGCTCAAGTGCAGTCCTGCCCTCCACACCCACCAAGGGGGGGTCCCCAAGACTTCTCTGGCCACCAAGCTGTGGTCCCAGCTCTGTTCAAAGTGTGGATGATTAGTGAGTTTGAGGGCATTCCTATGCTTCCAGGCTGGCCTGGGGCTCAGGTTGGCTGTTGCCCACCCTTGGGGGGCCCTGTCTGTAGCCCCTAACTCCCCAGACAAAAGGTGCAGTGGAGGGCAAGCTTCCTCTAAAGTGTGCAGCTGGCCTGGGTGTCGTGTAGACACTGCTCTGCTGCCCTCTGCTCCCTCCCTCCCTCAGCCTGGACTGGACCCCCCATCCTCTGGGTGAAGCCTGCAAAGGATGCTGGGTAATCCCCCTCAGTGGTTCTTGGTGGGGGCTGGATGGGCTCTGGGGGTGGCAGACCTCCCAGTTTTGCCGCGAGAGCAGCAAGCCTGGGACCAATTACAGAGTCCTGTGGGGCTGGACCCTCCTGTTCTGGAGGGTGGAGGTGGGTCCCCATTGGACACAGGTCTGGGTTGGGGGGGACTCTCTGGTCTCCTGAGACCTCAAGTTTGAAAACAGGCTCCCCAGTTCAGATCCTGCCTCGTGTCCTGAGACCCGGCTGCAGGCCTGGCCCAGGTCCTCATGCTCATTCCTGGGGTGCTGGTCTCCCAGTGCTGTGGGCCTCTCCTGGAAAGGGGTCGGGGGACATGGTGAAGGCGGCTGCTCTAGTGGGTTGGGTTTGGGTCAGTGTGTGATTGCCAGTCACGTGGGCCTGCAGCAGGCAGAGCTCCAGTTGTGGGACTGCTGCCCGCGTGCTCGTGGGCGTGGGGTGGCTGAGGGCTGAGCCTGTGAGCGAGCAGAGGGTGTTGCTGTCGTGGTGGGTGCCTCAGTGTGTGGGCAGAGGGGACTGTTGTGCAGGGTGTCGGACCTGGCCTGAGTGCTGCTGGGCCAGCAGGACTGGGCGGGTCGGGGCCCAGGGCCTGGGGCGTGTGGGGAGGCCTTGAGTGATAGCAGGCTGTAGGGTGGCAGACAAGTTGTGATCGGTTGGGTGAGGTCACATGTGGTGGGAGTGACTTTTGTGAGTGTTCCAGTGTCAGTGGGTGTTGCACTGAATGAGAGTTGGGGTGTTGAGCTGTGTGAGCCTTTGGGGGGCCTTGTGTGGCTGTGTGTCCTGGGGTGTTGCTGCATGCTGTGTGGCCCCCCCCTCTCTGCTTAGCAGGGCTCCGTGGGAATGAGGCTGGGGATGGGCTGCTCCAGGTTTCCTTGGCAACAGCAGGGAGGAGCCAGGAAACATCAGCTCAGGAAGGAAGGCTGCAGCTGCGCGAGGAGCC